TATATATATATATATATATATTAGTAGACATAAACTACCTTGGATAGCAAGTGGCAGCAGACAGCACCATGACACAGGTAAAATAGAGCAAAGACATAAAAGTCTGTATTTGATACTTAAAACCTTTATCAGGAGTGCCTACCCGCAAATCAATATTTTGCAAAGGAGGCATCTTTAAAGTTATGTTCAAAGCCTGCCTTAGTTCCTTAGTATTCATTAACCTCAGTTTGCAGGAAATCCATACTCTTTGTGAGAGGAGGATGAGCTACATCTCAGCGACTTCTAATTCTACCAAGAGCGAGAGCGAAATGAGAATAAAGCACAGACTACAGCGTAACAGTGATTGACCATCTTTCCAAACTCATACTATGGATGCAGAGATTGCAGCAAGAGAGTCAATTCAATCCTTTCCATCAGGCCATAGCGTGTTCTGCTCAGAGGCCCGGCTCTCCCATGCTGCCTTTGCGGCTGCCAGAGGCATGTCTCTCTGCTCACCTTGTAGAGTACTGCAGCGGGAAGGAGATTAATGAAGGACTAACCAATTTAGTTAGGCCCACTTCACAGAGCCGCTTCAAAAATCCAGCTGCACAGCAATTCCTTTCACACAAGCAGCAGCAATACCTTGCTTTCAAGAGCATAATCTGAGATTTAGACCTTAAAAGGGTTTATGTTCTCAGAGGGTTTGTCTCTCAGGCATGCATTGCTTGTACACAGATTATTGCAAATTAAATAGACACGGCAGATGCGTCTGCGCACGTTCAGGGCTTCTTACCTCAGCATGGCGTTCTTGCCGTCGCTGCGCACGCAACGAACTTGGCGCGTCTGGTAGCCGATCTCCACGTCCAAGCCCTTGAGACCGTGGTGATGGTGGAGGTGGTGATGGTGGTGCTGGGAGCTCTGGATATGTCGTTTCACGGTGTTCCTCTCCGTATCTCCCGTGGTGAAGTCCAGCATGGTCCTTCCGCTCATCCAGAGCCCCTTGTGTTGCGGCTGCCTGCACTCGCTCCAGGGGCCGACTTTAAGGCTGTAGTGATGCTCGCTTTCCCCAACCGGACAGGGCAGAAGGTTTGCACAAGTCCTTGTTTGGGTGAGATTGGGGCAATTAGCTCCTCCGTACATCGGTGCCGCTAGAACGTGTCGGGTCCGATGCTGGAGACCCATGCCGCATGTTCGACTGCAGCCGGACCAGGAGGAGAAATCGGATACGATGCAGTCGTGAGGGCAGGGGATCAGGCAGGCCTGTTCGAGCGCCGGTCGTGGGGAAAAGAACTCGCATATCCTCTCCGTGACCGTCGTGCGGTTTGAGGTGCGCACGCAATGGACCTTCCGTCTCTGGATGCCGTGCTGGGCCGTGACGCACTCCGTTGTCCTCGGTTTGAGCTCGTTGGACTGGAATGGGGCTAGAACGCACGGCCCCCATTCTGAAACCTCCCATTCAAAGAGGTCCTGGTGCCACTCACACACTTTAAAGCAAGGCCTCTGGCTCTCTGGTTTGTCTGAGTGCCGGCAGTTGGAGTGGTGTGTGGTCCATCCTTCTGAGTGGATGCACCACACCGTCCTGGATTGAACCCCGCCAGTTCCACATTCTTCTCCTATGCACCTGCCCCACTGACCTGGAAAATAAGAGATGAAATAATAAACATTAGCTCTTTAACTTTAAGGACAATCAACTCATTGACTCATTGGGATAGTTCACCCAAAAATGAAAATTCTGTCATTAATTACTCATCCTCATGTCGTTTCAAACCCGTAAGACCGTCGTTCATCTTCGGAACACAAATTAAGATATTTTTGATGGAATCTGAGAGCTGTCTGACCCTGCATAGACAGCAATACAACTGAAATGTCCAGAGACGTAGCAAGGAGATCGGTAAAATAATCCATGTGACATCAGGGGTTCAACCGTAATTTTACGAAGCTATGAGAATACTTTTTGTGCACAAAAGAAAAAAAAAAAAACGACTTTATTCAACAATTCGTCAGTATCAGCTGGACGTAAACAACATATGCTGTTCTCTGTCAGCTGCATCACGCTGGATCTGTTTCCTATGTTGCTGTGATTTGATCTGAACGAAAACAGCATATCCGTGTGACGCAGCTGACACAGAACAGCATACGCTGTTTACGTCCAGCGGATACTCTCCAAAATGGCGCTACAGGGTGATGCGGAGGAGACGAATTGTTGAATAAAGTCATAATTTTTTTTCTTTCACGCACAAAAAGTATTCTCATATCTTCGTAAAATTATGGTTGAACCCCTGATGTCACATGGATTATTTTACCAATCTTACGGGTTTGAAACGACATGAGGGTGAGTAATTAATGACAGAATTTTCATTTTTGGGAGAACTAACCCTTTAAATAGTTATGTAATTTAGCTCTCATAACCATGAGCTTAGCCCAGTGAGCACACACAAACAGTAAAAACAGGAATATTCTGAAATATTACCATTTAAAATAAAAGTTCATTTATTCCTGTGATGACAAAGCTGAATTTTCAGCAGTCATTACTCCAGTGTCATATGATCCTTCAGAAATCATTATAATATGCTGATTTGGTGCTCAAGAAACCTGTCAGACTCTGTTCCATGTTTTGTGTGTGTCCTGCTCCCCATGTGCCTTCCCATGCCCTTATTTGGTTAGTTTCCTGTTCCTGTCCTGATTAGTTTATTTAATTTGTCCCAGGTGTTTCCCTTGGTTTTATTGCTCCCAGGTGTGTCTCGTCATCCCCTCCTCCTGTGTGTGTGTATAAA